CGTCAAAACCAACAACAAAATAGAAGTAAATAAATATTCATTTCCTTTAATTTATTGAAATGTGTATTTGAATCTTCCAAATACGTATTCGAAACTGACTGCGACTAAATTTAGCCAAGTCGACAGGACATACCAGACATTCGAGTTAACTGATATTATGTCTAGACTAAATTTGATCAGTTTTATAAGCGCTGCAATATCGTTATTAGGCTATTTTAAATTTTCAGAACACTATTTGGTTCTCATTTGTGTTACTAGTTGCTTTGGGCTGAATTGCATTATTTAATCAAAGAAACGTTATTATAAAACATATTGCTTATCTCAATTTTTTAATAATGATATAGTCTTATAAATCAACGATTTGTTTGGATTGAGTCTTAAAAAAGGCATCGCCTTTCCTTTAAATTAACTATTTAACACCAGTTCAATAGCGGTATATTTTTTTAATTATATCTCTAGGTGGTGTCTTATTATAATTTTATTTATTCTTTCTTATATAATTCTTCTCTTATTTTAATTTATTATTATTCTAATTCTTATATTAAATTAATTAATCTTAATTCTTTAGAAAACACAGAATTATTTTTGTGTCAAGTACTAATGATAATTGTTTTTTTTTAATTTAAAAATACTACCACTAGACTTAAGTGTAATATTCTTATCTCTAATAGTACTTGAAAGCACCCGAAAAACTTACAACCGATGGATAAAAAATATTCTCGAGCGGCAAACTTGTACCGGTAGGCGAAGTGTAGGGCGACCTCCCCACCAATGGAGTAACGACCTGGTATGACATGCAGGAAGTCGATGAATGCAGGCCAGGAGCGTGCTTTGTGGCATTCCTTGTGTGTGGCCTATGTTCAGCAGTGGACTTGTAAAGGGCTATAATGATGATGATGATAATCGATATAACAACCGTCGTGTAGTAACGTTGTAGTAGTATCCAACAACCCATATTATCATCCCGAGGTTGTCACAAGAGGCAATAGAGGGTTCATTTGAAACCGGTAGAGGATAGCAGCATCTTCCTGATAAAGGTTCAAAATAAAAAAACTGCGGTTATCAACCTAGCAACCGTGGCAAATGTGACAAATATCCCACCTGTGAGGTAATCTACGAAGATGGTTATGTTCAGAAGTGGAATTTTGATAGATTAAATTCATGAAAATATATATAAAAGCTGACCATACATTCAGGTTCTGGGTTCAAATTAATTTTTTATGTGTACGGCACTGCATCAGTCTATTTACGATGTTATCCCATAAATTTAACATCAAAATTAAATTTGCGTATACACTTGTGACACTATTAATTTCCTGTAGAGCAGTAGCTTCCTGTTATTCGGAAACTGTCGTGGTGATCGAATAATTTAGCAATGCAGAAAGGTATCATTAGACGAAAAATAATAAAGATGTCGAAGAACATGATTTGACGTAATATGAACCTCAAACGATAAGTTTTATAACCTTGTGACAACTACTTTATTGTCACATATACTTGTAACTACTACAGCTTTTTTATTGAATTCGAGGAAAGAACAAGCTAAAACTTTATCTGTCAGTTAGAGTCGGCTGCAATTTATGGAAACAAGCAGCAAATTACCTAAGATTTAACTAAGATGAAATATCTTAAAGCTTGTAATTATACACGCTAATCATACATCTTAATTTCCAAATCGGCAAATCTATAGATGTACTGCTGCTTGTCGGCACAAATATGTAAAAGTATGGTACCAACCCAGATAGAGTCCTAGTTAGACAAAGCGCCATACAACTTATATACACTTTTAACCAATTTTTCTGATACGATGCGTAAATAATACGTAAAAATTAAAATAATTTATTACTTGTATAAATTTTATCGTAACCAAAGATAATACACAACATAAAACAAAACTCAAGAAATATATTGGGCAATAAATATATACAGGAAAAAACATAGGAATTGTTGCTTTTATTTACAGTTTTGTTGAAGAAAATTGGCCATTGATAAATTATTGGCTTTAAAGTGTCAACTAAATTAAGACTAGTTGAAGTTAGTTTAAGTTAGGTCTTAAATAAGCAGCAGGCAGTTAAAAGCATTTTATTTATGTAATTCGTTATTTAACAACGTTTACATTCCTATAACAAGAATGCAAATAAGCAACTTATCAATGCCATCGATGGGTCGAAGAAAATCGAATAATCTCTAAAGTTTCTAATGATATTCAAAAGAACGCAGTCTTTAAATGTCGATGCACCGCAGTTGCGCTACAAATTTAGAATCCGGATATCGAAGGGGACTTCACATTTTTTTACCGGCGTCACTAGTCGTGGGTGACAGTAAACGGCAACCGTGGAATTAAAGTTCACTAGAAGCAATATGTTTCAAAAAAATTAAATTAATAAATATCATATTTAAGTTTTAATTTTTTTCAATTAAACCTTCGTTTTCATATAAAATAAAAGCTCCCTTCATATCTTCCAAAAAACATCCCGCGATTGATCAGATATTATTTCTTACATGTTAAGTAAAGGATGGTGAAGACGATAACGTTCATGAGGGTAAAATTACCCGGTACAGATTATGATACGTTGTGCGAACGTCAACTCTCTCGAGTACAGATTCTCATTTCATACAGCACTACTAAATAATAGTTCTTAATAGAGAATTTGAATTGCCGCAATCAACTGTACGATAATGGAAATACCTGATTTTTTTCTGACAGTGCCTATGAAATCCTAGCCTTTTCCATAATCCTTTTCCATCCGTTCCGGATAATAGGTTCACTTAAACGTTCACCGTTCGTTTTTATTGTTAATATAATAAGTTAAAAAGGATATCAACTACGCTCAACATATCGGAGACACATCCAGTATATTTATGAAACATTGTAGACGATATAATAGGGCTTTTTCCGTTCCCCCTTTTCTTTTTTAGTCACGCCCCATGTATTAAAGTGTTTAATTTGTTTCTTCTGATAGCTCTAAGATAAATAGCGCGGCGCGTGTTGTTGATACACACCTCCTTGTTTCGGTTGATGGATTGTATTTCTAAAAGTCCTCTATATTGACAGACATCAGTTGGGCTTTTTTAAATGTTCTGTTTTTGTCATAGGTAAAAACCGGAAGATTTTGAGATCCCAGGAAGCTATTTCACGAGGACGTCTGTACGGATGTGTGTACGCGTGCGTGCGTGCGAGCGTGCGTGCTTGCGAGCGTGCGTGCGTGCGTGCGTGCGTGCATGCGTGCATGCATGCGTGCGTGCGTGCGTGAGTGCGTGCGAGCGTGCGTGCGTGCGAGCGTGCGTGCGTGCGTGCGTGCAAGCTTGCGTGCGTGCGTGCGTGCGTTTGTGCGTGCGTGCGTGCGTGCATGTATGTGTGTGTGTGTGCGCGCGCGCGCGTGTTGTGTGTGTGTGTGTGTGTGTGTGTGTGTGTGTGTGTGTGTGTGTGTGTGTAAGTATGTAAACCTCTCATAACTTTTGAACATATTATTCAATTGTGATGCGGCTTACGGAGTTCTAAAGATATCAATGTGGAATAGATTAGGTGATAATATGAACTGATTCGGACGAGTAGATTTTGAAAAATTGAAAAAATTTTGAAAAAAAAAAATGTTGAAAAACTGCTTTTTCGAAATAACTTTTAAACGGCTTCACCGATCGATTTCAAAAACTAATCAGCTTTTAATCTCAAAAAATGACTTCGGATGCCGGTTGGAAAATAAAAACGGTTCATTCGTTCGTGAGATATCGAAGGAGGATAAAAAAGTTTTTTTAACATAGCTTTGAGATTTCGCAAGATAATTTAGTGAAATTTGAACTGTTTTGCATTTGAAATTAGCGGGAAGTTCCAGGGATGACCTGCAGGGTTTTTCATATTATTTTGTATGAGAGTAATTTATTAAAGCTGCAAATAATTTTATTATATGATTTCAAAAAAGAAAGCGGGTCTCTATTTGACTGTTTCATGGATATCTTTGCTTATTACAATCGACAAAAATAATCCTTTTTTATTTCATAGTTTTAATGTTGAGACAACCTTAAAACAGTTAACTTTCTGAAAGTATTTTTTTTACCGCTGACTTCAAAAAACTAAAAATTATAAAATATAATTACTTCTGAGGTCAGGACCTTAATTCCTCTGCTTGAAAGCTTTTATGAGGAAATTGTTTTATCTTTTTCGTTGACTCATACATTTAATTCAAAGTTATATTTATACATTTGTCATATATCTCTGGTAGTGACTCAGTGATAACAAAATTACTGCTACATCATTACCCTTGTACAGTTAATAGCTTTTGATAATATCCGGACATAATCGTGGAAATCAGCTAGGAGACATCAAATGCACCCATAAATTTTCAAACATAATGGTGGAGCCACGTGTTTAAGGCTGCCGAAAATCTAGTTCCCCGGTCAAACCTCAAACCTATTACGCGAGATATTAACTAAAGTGGACTGTATATGCGATTGCTTCTACGCTTACGTAAGGCGACTACTATAGCATGCGGTACAATGCACTCGCTCTTCCCTAAACTAAACTATTACTTGTCGAATCGATGAAAGGAATCCTGCTTGACTAGGAAAAAACACAGATTGGAGCGGGTTAAACTATTAGCAAGCAGGTATAATTAAGGAGTATTGACTCACCGGGGTTTCTTCTTCCTGTCGATCACTATAGCGACTTCTGGAACACTCCGGAGAGAGGCGGTGCGCGACGATATCTCACACGAGGTGAGGCGGGTTCCTGGAGCTCGACTGCTTCCAGGCCAAAGCGGTTTCCACTAGTGAGGTGTTTCCAAGCGAGCGCGCGGGAAGAGGAGGTTGTAGTTCAACGACGACTGCGGCGGGAGAAGAGAGCGCGCGTCGGTCGCGCGTGTCTTATATATCCTCGGGTCCGATGATTACGCGATGTTCTAGAATCGTCTTCTTTCCCCTCCCACCCCACCACCCCGATGTTGGGTGATTGGTACGTGGTTGAATACTATGCTAGCGCTGAAGAAGCCCTCTCATACAGCTGTATGAGAGCTGTCTTCACGGAGGATGACCACGTGCAAACTGCGGATGGTACTGTAGAATGGACCCCAGGTGTGACGATGAACTTCACATACCGCTTCGCCGACGATCCTCTCGGTGAGAACTTGCTCGGCAACATAACCTGGCGGGTGGACATGAATGAACCAGCGCATTGGACTCATTCCGAACTCACTTATGATGGGATTTACAATACTTATGTCCTTGATACGGAATATAAAACTTGGGCGTTATTACTGCATTGTGCAGAACAGAGAGAAGGCGCCCGATACTTAAGTGCATTCGTTTTATCACGGAAGACTGTTTTGCCGAAGAATGTGATGGCGTACTTGAGAGATAAGCTACCGAGATATGATGTTGATATTAAATACGTGTTCCCGATATCCCATAACAACTGCACGTCAACACCGGCAAAATTCAACTATTCGCCGATACTCGTGGAAGTAGGCAGTAAGACTATAAAACGACCTAAGATTGAATACAACGTTAATTTTGAGAATTAGTATTTATTAAATTACTTTCAAATGACACTATCACCATCATAAACAATAATCAACTTGATAGTTTGTTCATTTTATTGAACCTTTGATTAATTTTGTTGTTTTGCATGTGAAATGTATGTGATTAAATACATACACATAGTTACGTACATTATATGTATGTATACATAATTACGTACATTGATAATAATTTACAAGATTTAAATTTTTATAAGAAAATAATGTTAGTCTTTCGTGTAAGTAAGTTACGTGTGTTATTAAGTTGAATTGATTAAAAGTATGAAAAAAAAAAAAAAAAAAAAAAAAAAAAAACGCGAATGGTTTTCCGCGCAACCATCTCCCCCGCCCTTGAAGGATTTCCTTCAAAAAAAATAACTAAACAACTAGAGCTAAGATCGACTAACAAATAACTAACTAACGCTAAGATTACCTAAATTAAACTACAATTTCAGTCTAGAAAGCTAATTTAAATTATGGAAGAGGCAAGGGGCACAAACGGACAACAGGACGTAGGTAAGACCCAACCGTGGTCTTAACGCGAGCTATCCTAATTACTCCGTCGGAACCGGGAAAGACCTCCTCGACGATTCCTAACGGCCAGTGGAGAGGCGGCGTATTCTCCTTAGTGAGCACAACTACGGTTCCTACAGCTAAAGGCTCTGTCGCTGTGTTCCATTTTTGCCGAGACTGCAAAGTATGCAAGTATTCCATCCTCCATCGTTTCCAAAACGATTGCACTAACCGATCTAATAATTTGTGGCGTGTGGAAATGCTAAGTCTGTTCTCATCCATATCCGCGGCGGGCAGATACCTCAGAGGCGTTAAAGTCAAAAAATGTGCTGGAGTTAGAGCCAGCGGTTCCGAGGGGTCACTAGATAACGTCCGACAAAGTGGGCGGCTATTCATTACGCATTCAATTTGAGCGAGCACCGTACTTAGCTCTTCGAAGGACAAAATTTGATCTCCTATTACTCGGTATAAGTGGCTCTTTAGACTTTTAATATTAGTCTCCCAATTGCCCCCAAAATGACTCGCGGCTGGGACGTTCAGAGACCACTCAATGCGGTTCTCGGCTAGAATGTGAGCGAACTCCGAATTATAATACTTGCTAGCTAAGAGCTCGTGTAGTTCCGATAGAATACGTTTTGCACCGACGTAGTTCGTACCGTTATCCGAATATAATTTACTTACAGGGCCTCTGCGCGATAGAAATCTTTTAAATGCACCCATAAAGCCTGCTGTGCTTAGATCACCAACGAGTTCTATATGCACTGCTCGAGTAGTTAGACATACGAAAATGCAGACGTAAGCCTTTGTGGATCTTATACCACGCCCGCGAGTGAGCGTGACCTTAAACGGACCAGCAAAATCAGACCCGGTGTGCGTGAAGGGCTTTACCGATTGTATCACTCTACAAGATCTAAGTTCCGCCATTTCCGGAAATGACGGCTTGGGGCGTGCCCGAAAGCAAGCATCTGTGCACCCGATTGCGTATTAAACTACGTGCAGAAAGAATCCAATAATTCTGGCGCAAGATCGACATCAATAAATCGGGGCCAGCGTGCGAGTTCAATTTATGATGATAATCGACTAATAAGTTCATGATATGGTCTTTACGCGGTAAAACTATAGGGTGCCGTTGGTCGAAACTCAACTGCGAGTTGGACAAGCGTCCACCTACCCTTACAATCCCATCCTGTAAAAATGGCTTAAGGCGTTGAAAGGCGCGACTACAAGCTCTATTCGATTGTAATCTTGTAATTTCTTCAGAGAAGTGTGCACGTTGAAGTTCACGTAATACTAGCGACTCGGCATAGTTGTAATCGGATGCTAAGACATACGAACGTCGCGGTAAAAAGCTTCGCGAATCGACAAACGTAAATTACGCTACGCAATAATTTCGACCAAGAGGACAAGCGGTTCGCCAGAGCAATGATTGGAGAAACCTCGCTCGAAACGTTCGCCACTAGAGCGTGTCTCTTCTCTTCCGGCGGTTGTGACACTGACGAAGGTTCGAAATCGGTTATTGGCCATTGTGAGGGATCCAAGTGAACCCAAGAAGGTCCATGGAACCAAAGCGGGTGGTCCATTATTTGCATCGGGGTGAGCCCCGGGATAGACAATCGGCAGGGTTTTCCTTACCGGACACGTGATAAAAGTTCCGCGTTTATAACTCGTCTTGGATCTTGGCCACTCGGTTCGCGACAAACGTATCCCAACGGTGGGGTGAAGAATGAACCCAACATAGGGCGACGGTGGAGTCGGAAAAGGCAAATATTCTTTCTATGTGAATTCTATCCCTACATGCGCCGATAACTGTGGTAATAAGCTTGGTGAGTACTAATATTGCGCAAAGCTCTAAGCGCGCCAGAGAGACAACCTTACGGGGGGAGACTCTCGACTTAGAACTAATGAGGCTAATCGAATTTCTACCATTATTCTGGACATGGAAATATACAACGCCCCCGTAAGCCTTCTCGCTGGCGTCTGCAAATCCAACAACCGTTATGCTGCTATTTCTATCGACATTTATATGACGCGGTATTTTAATTTCTCTTAGTAAAGGAAGTTCCTCTCTAAAGCGCTGCCACAATCGAACAATGCTGTCAGGCGGCGAGTCATCCCAATCGCATTCAAATAACCAAAGTTATTTAATCAAAAGCTTAGCGTATAATACCACCGGAGCTACGAAACCCATGACGTCCCATAATCTAGCAACGCATGACAGTATTGTGCGCTTTGTGCATTTCTCTACGGGCGGATTTACCTTAAGGCTAAACACGTCGGACTCTGGTGACCAACACAGACCGAGCACCTTGTGTGTATCGGAATCGTCGAATTCCTTTATCGCCGAAAGACGGTGTGATAGTGGGATTGTATCTAAAACCGGACGCGAATTACTAGTCCACTTCACAAGATCGAATTGACCCGATTTCATGAGCCTTATAACCTCGGCGGTGGTTAGGGTGGCCTCCTCCACGCTATCGACCGAATACACAAAATCATCCATATATAATCCGCTCTCAATTGCCCTCTTAGCTTTAGGATAAGAGGGACCTTCATCGTGAGCGAGCTGTCTCACCGTGCGTAACGCATGAAATGGGCTCGACTTTAAACCAAAACAAACGCGGTTAAATTCTAACACCATTAGAGGTTCCTTTGGGTGGAAACGATATAAAATGCGCTGGAATCTACGGTCGCATTCACGGACCCCTATGCAAAGAAACATTTGGCGAATATCGGCGGATAGTGCTATACTAAACAAACGAAAATTGACTATTATATCAAATAAACTGCCCTGTAAATTTTGCCCACTATAGAGGATATCGTTAAGCGACAGGTGAGTGCTAGTTTTAGCACTAGCGTCGAGCACTACACGTAATTTAGATGTAAGTTTGTCCTCTCTAATGACTCCGTGGTGTGGTATAAAATACGACGGTGTGTCTTCGTAGTTATCTAATTTCGAAGCCACAAGTGATATGTAACCTTCTCTTATATATTCGTTAATGACGCCGTCGTAAGCTTCCTTTAACTGGGGCGAAGCGAGCATCCTACGCTCCAAGCTGTAGAAACGTTTTTCCGCCATTTGACGCGAATCGCCGAGAGATAAAACATCTCCCTTAAAGGGTAGCGCTACACTATATCTACCGTCGCGATCACGAACGGTCGTGCGGACGTAAATTTCCTCGCATATCCTGTCATCTGGACTAGCTATGGGTGGGACGTTCACCTCCTCCATCTCCCAAAATTTGCGGACTAACGACTCGAGCGGTTCGACAGCCATACCACAATAAGAGGCTGCCGAAATACTATCTAGGATGGGGGCGGAGCCAAGGATCACATAGCCCAATACGGTTTCCAGTGCGTAAGGCGCGGTATGCGAGGAGTTGCTCCTGACCTTATTGTTTAACAAAAGATGAGGGAAAAGCGATGCCCCAATGAGCATGTCTATGTTTCCAGGAACGGCGTAAGTGTCGTCTGCTAGAGTCAAATTTTTAAATTCAATCATTGCCGAGGTGTCAACCGAAACGGTTGGCAACCGTTCAGTGACCCTATCTACTACTAGTGCATTTATATCAAAGTTAACGTTACGATCTATCCGAGAATAAAATTTTAAATTTATATATCCCTGTGTCGCTTTACTAGTACCTCCGATGCCTTTAACTACAGGACATGAAAGTGACCTATTTATTACTAAGCCTAAGCGCTGACAACATTGTCGTGTTATAAAGCTATTTTGGGCTCCGCTGTCCAGCAGTGCACGGACGCTTTGTTTGTTTCCACGCGAATCCCTAACCAAAATACGCGCCGTACCCAGTAACACGGTTGAAGGAGGTTGTGCTCCCATATTTGCCAATGAGCACAGAGCGACATCACCAGGTCGACCGCTAGAATCGTTGACCTTAGTAGGGGTGAATTCCTTATCCGCCTTACTTGACGCCGCTATGTTGCTATTTTCAAAATGTAATAGCGTGTGATGTTTCCTGGCGCACTTGCTACATACGGAACTCGAATTGCATTTTGCAACTAAATGCTTATCGCTTAAGCAGTTCAAACATAGGTTGTTTGTCTTTACTAACTTATAACGTTCGCTTGGTGAATATTTACGAAAAGTCGCACAGTTATATAAGTTACCGTGTTTATCTTTACATACTATACAAGTATGCTGGAGTGATGTCGGCGTAGCGGTTACGTAAGTTAACGACCCTGCTATTTTAGATGGTTGAGTCTGTCTACGGTCGGCGCACCTTTTAATCTCCTGTTTAACGTTCGGTGAGCGCTGCATCACCTTTATTTGATCTCGCACGAACGATGCTAATGAATGAAAGGAAGGCATCTCCGAGCTACGATGCTCCATTTCAAACGCACGCACGGTGTCGGAGTCTAATTTCTTTAATGCTATATGGAGAAACACCACGTCCATAAGGTCATCAAACCTCAAATTCTTAAGTGCAGCCACCGATGCCACAAATTTATCGAGAAACTGCTCTAAGCCGTTGATG